GAGAGAGAGAGAGAGAGAGAGAGAGAGAGAGAGAGAGAGAGAGAAGGAAAATTAGAAGGAAAATCAATCATCAATTGAGTTTTGGGATACAACTTTCACAAGGGACTTAAAAACAGGAGTAACAGATAACAGACATACAAAGCAGACTCCTGGTTATAAGCAAGGTTTGAAGGCAATCTGAAGACTTCATTTACAATTAGATGATATAGGCTGTTCTTCAAAGGGTAAATTTCTCCATTTCTGGAGATATTTATAAGAATCCTGGATTGCAAGGACAGTTTGAATCACAAGGTGGCGATTCAAACCCAACTTGGAAACCCTATACAGGTTCGCTAGGAGTAGGAACTGACTCCACGGCACTTACAACATACAACAAAGGCCACTGGTGATGCCACAGAGAAGATGCGAAATACCAAAAAAGAGCCACTTACTGATCTGTTCTACTAACTTGAGCATCACTCCCCCGATGTGCAGGTCTCCAGACACTCTCAGTGTGACATCTCTCTGCTCTTCATTTGGATGATCGACTCGAACCACAAGCTCCCACGAAGCAGACACAAAGTCATTGGGCGAGAACATGGTGGCAATCACAGGTGTCTGTCAAATAAAGAAATGGTTGTAGATAGAGCTTAGATCAGAATGTGAGGAAGGAAACAGGAATTTTCCAATAAACTCCCACACCAAAACTTTGTGTGTGTGTTCTTCATTGTGTTGTTGTTGTTAAGTGCAGTTAAGTCGCTTCTGACACATAGTGACCCTGTATTTGATTTCCAAGGAACAACTAGTGGGTTTGAGCCACTGACCTTGTGGTTCAAACCAACCTTGTAGTTGAGTGCTTATCCTACAGTGACACACCAGGACTCCATTCTTCATTTTAGTCTCTTCTTAAAGAAGGTTCCTAGTGTCCCAGCGATTACATTCAGGGTGTAGCACTACAGGATAATATGCTGGACTGTAAGGGTCGGTTTGAACTGCAAGGTCGGTGGTTCAAGCTCACTGGCCGTTCCATGGAAACCCTATACAAGGTCACTATGAGTCAGAACCAACTCAATGGCACTTAACAACAACAACAACCTTACCTTTAAAAAAGTTTTATAAAATTGATCTCAAACCATGTAAATTTATATACTTTGTCTTTCCAAGAATAAGATATTCATTTTCTGTCTATCCAATATATCCATCTTCATTTGCTCTATTACCTTTCTTGACTTTCTTTGAGCTATTTTAGCAATACCATCTTCAAAGATATGTTTTCTTTTTTTAAATGAACTTAATTTAAGTATAATGTATATGCAATAATTATACTTAAATTATCTGAATTAAAGGACTTCTGGTGTGGCACTCTAAGATCAGCACTGGACTGTGAACCACAAAGTCAACCACCAGCTACTCCTCAGAAACCCTATAACAGCATTTAACAACAACAACATGCAATAAAATGCAGATTTAAAATGTGTAGTTCTATATGGACTCCTGGTGTGGTGCTGTAGGATCAGTACTGGAGTACAAGCCACAAGGTCAGCAGTTCAAACCTACCAACCACTCCTCAGAAAACCTATACAGGGTTGCTATGAGTTGGAATCGATTTGATGGCACTTAACAACAACAACAACAACATTCATTGTACATACATTTTACCTCAATAAAGTTGATTTTTAAAAAAGGATACAAATAAAATTTCTATCTTTCTGCAACTCTATCTCCAATTACATGTATTATTATATTCCTGCTATAATATTCTGGCACACAATGTCAAAAAGTAAATACAGCAAAATACTCTCTATTTCAGTCATCTAAGATTTAGTTTTTCCTTACATGCATATAGGGACCTTGTGGCACAGTGGGTTAAACACTGGGCTAATAACAGAAAGGTTGGTGGTGTCGACCCACCAGGGGTGCCAAGGGAGGAAGCTGTGGCAATCTATTTCTGTCAAGATTTACATCCTTGGAAAACCTATGGAGAAGTTTTATTCTAATCTCTGGTAGCGTAGTGGCTACTAGTCAGGCTGCTGACCTCAAGGTCAGCTGTTGGAAACTACCAGCTGTTCCACAGGAGAAAGATGAGGCTCTCTGCTCCCATAAAGATTTACAGCCTCGGAAACCCTGTACAGGGTTGCTATGAGTCAGAACTGACTCCACAGCACATAACCACCAGCATCACCATAGCACTTACCAACAACAATAAGAGTCCTGGTGGGCTCTACAGGATAATGCGCTGGACTGCAAGGTCAGTTTGAACAGCAAGGTTGGTGGTTCAAGCTCACCAGCTGCTCCTTGGAAATCCCCTGCAGGGTCACTATGGGTCAGAACCGACTTGCTGGCACTTAACAACAACAATTTTATGTCATATGTTGTTGTTAAGTGTTGTCGAGTCGGTTCCAACTCATAATGACTCTGCATAGAGTTTCTGAGGGTTTCAACTGCTGACTTTGAGGTTCATAATTCAGCACTTTTCCTATAGTGCCACACCAGGATTCCTATTGTTATTGTTAAGTGCTGTTTAGATAGTTCCAACCTATAGTAACCATGTCTAGCTTGAACTGCTGACCTTGTGGTTTAAATTTACCTCTCAGTCTAGTGCATTAACCCACAGATGGTTCAGACCCACCAGCTGCTCCTCAGAAACTCTATACAGGGTTGTTATGAGTCAGAACCGACTGGATGGCACTTAATAACAACAACATATGATATAAAACGGTGGTGGTAGTGATGTGCCATTGAGTCGGTTCTGACTTTAGCGAACTTGCATAGGGTTTCCAAGGCTGTAAATCTTTATGGGAGCAGAAAGCCTCATCTTTCTCCCACGGAACAGCTGGTAGTTTTGAACTGCTGCCCTTGAGGTTAGCAGCCCAACTTGTAACCATTACGTTACCAGAGCTCCTTATGATATAAAATAGTACCCCAATTAAGTTAAATTGTTGTTGTTGTGAAGTGTTATCAAGTAGGTTCCAACTCACGGTGGTGGTGGTGTGCCCCCTCACCTTTCTCCTGCGTGTATCACATGCTGTTATTGTTAAGTGCTCTCAAGTTGGTTCTGACTCAAAGCAACCCTGTATAGGGTGCCCGAGGAGTGGCTGGTGGGTTTGAACAACAGACCTTGATGTTCCAACTGACCTTGTGGTCCAGTGGATTGTCCTGCAGCACCACACCAACACTTGGTGTTATATTACATAAGTGTTGATAAATGCATCAATTGAGTTTTGGGATACAACTTTCACAAGAGACTTAAAAACAGGAGTAACAGGCACACAAAGCTCACTCTTCAAAGTACACCTGGGGTGAGAACTTCTAACCCATAATTCCCCCCTCAGTGATGAAGCTAGAATGAAAGAAACCATGCAGTATCAAAGCAGAAATATTTCCGGGGGTAACAGAAACACCAGAATCCATAGTTAATAAAGCTTGAGATATCAGCTCTTTTTTTTTTTTTTTTTTTTTACTTTTAAACAGATGGTAAATGATAAGTACATTTCCTGGCTGTTTGTTTTAAAAAAGTTAAATATCGATCAGTTATTTAAACGATTATAATACATCTTTCTCACTTGACTATTTAAAGACAAATGATAAGGCCCATTTTGGAGCCCCCTTTCTCCTTCCCAAACTCCTGGTGTGACATTATAGGATAAGCACTGGACTGTGAACCACAAGGTCAGTGGTTCAAACCCACCAGTTGCTCCTTGGAAGCCCAATACAGGGTTGCTATGAGTTGGAACCAACTGGACAGCACTGAACGTCAACGAAATCACTATCTTTAAGCCTTGTTTTGTGTGAAACGAGTGAATAAAGAAAAGATCATCAGTTTTATATTGTACAAATCATACACTTAGTTTCATCTCAGTGAGCCCCTGGGTGTCACAAATAGATAATTGCTCAGTTGCTAACATAGAAGTTGGACGTGTAAGTCCACTTAAAGGCATCTTAGTAGAAAGACCTGGTGAGCTTTTTTTTAAAAAAAAAAAAAAATAAAAACAAAGCCAATGGAAACACTATGGAGCACAGCTGTACTGACACAGGTGGGGTTGTGTTGTTATGAGTCAGAATAGACTGGAGTTGGAAAAGACTAGACAGCAGTTGTTTTTGTTTTTGAGAACTATCAGTGTGTTCAAATTTGTAAGATTCAAAGATAAAACTTTTCAACTGGCAATAGCACCCAAAACGCAGACTCTGAATGAGTAAGCTTAGGGTGGGGGAGGAGACTGTATGTTCTTTCAACAAGCCCCAGGCCATACTGGTCTATGGCTCACTCTTACAGTGCCACTGCCAAGAGAAAAAGTAGCTCCATATTTCAATTCCTCCCCTGGCTTCCAGCTTCACCTTTAATCAAGGGGCTTTGACAACATCAACTACTATTTTAAATAATCAAAAGTATCCATCAGTGTCATACTAGTTTTGTGTTTATTTGAAAATGTACCCACTTGTAAACAAGAGAATCTTGAAATACAAAATATAGGTAAATTAAATACAGCGCTGCAGAACAGGTTTAGGATAGATTTTATTTGTTTGAATCAAAGCAAAAAATGTTAGAAAGAGCTCCCAATGATGAAAGATCTTAATGATGTAATGAATATACAGGGAGACCTCCTGTGTGGGGAGTCTTTTGCCTCACTAGTCCTGACTCTTCCCCTCATTGTTATCATTATGAGCCTTGGCTATATATGCACTGCGGTCTTTGTTAGCATAGTGTTCAGCGTCTTGGTGTGGTGCTGCGTGATGATATGCTGGACTGCAACGTCAGTGTGAACCTCAAGGTCGGCAGTTCAGACTCATCAGCTGGTCCTCAGAAACTCTATACAGTGTTGTTATGAGTCAGAATGGACTCGAGGGCACTTAACAACAACAACAATCCCTACCAGTCTTGCAAGAGGCAGGGGTCTGATTTCCTGACAAGGAGGCAAATCCCCTTCAGAGGAGTCTGGGTGGCACAGTGGTTAAAGTGCTTGGCTGTCAAGTGAAAGGTAGGTGGTTGGAACCCACCAGCCCAACCATTCCACCAGAGGAAGATCTGACAGTCTTCTATAAAGATTTGCAGTCTTGAAAATCCTATAGGGGAAATCTACTCTGTGTTATATGGTTGCTATGATTTTAATTTGAATTGGTAGCAGTGGGTTTGTTTAAAAAAATATTTTTTATTACGGTTTAATGGACTGTGTATGTAGTGCTTACTGCTTTCCTTATTATGGCCTTATCCTTTCTCTCAGCACCTACATTTAGAAATGAGAAAACTCAAGCTAAGAGAAGTTAGACAACTGTCTGAAGTCACACAGCAAGTTAGATGGTAAAGCCCATACTCAAATACTCTGAAATCATAATCACCACCCTGGGAAATGACATGTCCTTGATATAAAACTACAAAAACCACATGAGCTAAATTTAAATTCTCTGTAGTCCTTAGTGTTTCTATTAACACAACACAAATCTTTTCGAATGAGAAGACAATAAGAATACCCACTTTATAGTCAAACTCACAACACAGCACTGGACTTTTAAAATTTTTAGATACTTATAATTTCTAAAATAGTACCATTTAAGGTTTAGTTATTTAAGATGTTTTGTACATAACGAATATGAGCTTTCTTTTAAGAAAACACCTT